CATAGCATGACAACTGCTAGCAAATTTCAACTTTTTAAAGTTTCAACTCTGCCAGCAGCATGCAAGGAACCCATCTTTTACAAACCTTTTGGTTTTGACGAACATCAGTAATGTGACACACGTTTCTGTGAAATGCCAAGCTTGACAGTAGTTTCCCTTTGAGTGATTGTCCTTTATCAATTCATCAACTTTTCTTATGTGGAACTCGAATGCTCTTTCTGATTCACTGTCTATACATTGTTTGGACCAGCAATGCACATGACTCACGTCAACACAATAATCACCATACATATTTGGCATTCAGTGTGCATTTCAATGGGAGGGACTCCTTCATCAACCAAAATTTCAATCATAGGGCACTGCTTAAAGTGCATTAATGACTGACTGCAGGCTTCCATTTCACAAACCATAGCAACATAGTCTTTTCCAGTGGCAACTTCTCATCAACTGAAGTGAAAGAACGAACGCTAAAGAACACATAGGAGCTTCAAGTGCATTCCTACTGCCATATTTTGGCAATTTATAACACTGGAGGCATTACTTTTCATTCAACCTTCGCATCATACTGTAATCACATAGATGACGTGTGTATATTCCACCCCTTAATGAAATGTAATATGGATACATTTCTTCCTTTAGCATGAGAGAGCAACACATTTTTTTCCAAAGGTAAACAGGAAAACGAAGAGCCTTGCTGGTTTGGGGCTTCTGTGGTGTGGGGGCGGGGTTTCCCAAAACCGCCCCCCCCAGCCCGGGAGGCCCCACACCAGCCATCGTATGCCGGCCGTGAAAGCCTTTGACAATACGAAGAGCCTTTGCTTCAGCCCCTCGTGTAGACTCCCCGTGTGCCACTTGCATTAGCAGAATAAAGCACAGCATCCCCACTGCTATTCAAGAGTCAGCTGATGTCCACTGCCATATGCAATCAGCACAGTGCAGGAAACCATAAAAAGTTGCTCTTAGTTTGGCAAGATCTGGGAACCCATACATTTTGTCCTGTAAACCAATGGCTTGGTGCGTTTAACTATGGCTTGTTCAACAAAACTGAAACAAATGTTGGCATAGTACAATGGGTGAACCTATTCCACATCCACACAGCTGCTCTGCCGTTTCACTCCTGTCCAGAGCCACAGGAATTCATGCTGCCGTAAATCTTTTTTGTCCCTGTAGAACATCCTTACGGCATATCTGGAGCAGGCCTGTACTGCACTACTGTCCATATAGCTTTAATGTGCAATATTCTAATATTCTAAGGGCCAGGATTTGTGGTTCCATCAGCTGAAATTCCAGCCCTGCCCAACATCATCCACCATGTGAAAAACCTTCTCCAACTGGCATGCCCAACATCTGGTTACTCCATGCATTACATTTTTTTTCTTTCTTCTTGTACTCTTGATCAATAATCTTTTCCCTGTGTTCTTGAAACTATCAGTCAAACAGATGATTATTATTTAGAGGTTTTCTAACCTGACTGCCATCTAGTGGTTGTCTGGATACGTGCAACTGCTAGGTCAAACCAGAACGTTTTGCATGCTTAAGTATTTGGGTTGACAGTTTAGCAGCAAGATGCATTCTTTATTATTAGACGTTTAGCAAAACCTGGAATGTTCTCAGGTATTTATGTTACAACAGAGGCTAAATATCTAATCTTGCAAAATTCTCTGGTTGGGTTCACACATTTTGCTAAACCATCCTGTGATTGGTTTGCTTTGACTTCATACCTCACTCAGCCACTAAGTCAACTGAACGAATAATGGTTAAGGAAACTAGTCATTGGCTCATCTTATTAAATGCTGGATGCAAGGTAGTCAAGTATCAGTTACAGAACATCACAGATCTGTCTTTTCAGATGAATGGGAGTAATAAAGAAGTGCATGCGTATATTTCCTAGAAACAAACATTGAGCAGAATTCTGGAATGTACCTATGTTCTAGATTACATGTACTATAAAAATGGCTAAAAACTAGCCATTGCCATTTTCTTGCCTCTTTTCTTGAGGAAGATCTCTATAATATCTGAGCCGCAGAAGTATCAAAGGCAAGGGTGACATTAACTATTCTAATTGCACAGGGGCAATTGTGTCAGTAATAGAGTACCAATAGTGGAAGAAAATATAGTAAGACACTAAAGGTTAACATAACACTTAATCAACAATGTCCAGCCTGATGTGCCCAGGAAATCCAGAGGTATCAATGTAGGTTCTGTATGTGACTTCTATAACTTAATCCTATTTTTTTAAAAAATTACAGGAATGAATTGTATGAAAAACCATAGATTTTTTGCTTTAATCCAGCTGACATCCAAGTGTTGTAACAGTTATGACAGACTGAAAGAGAATAATTCTGCTATCTCTTTGATCTTGTCCAGTGCAATCTTTTACAGGTCTGCCCAGAAGTAAATTTCTGTTGTGTTCAGTAGGATGCACTGCCAGGGAAATGGAGTGGGCCAGGCGGAGCAATAGGAGATCCCATGATGAACATCTGTGCATCCCAAACTCTGGCAATTTGCTGCAGTCAGAAAGAAGAGGGGCAGGGTTTTTCCTCAATTTTGGGGCCTGCACTCACAAAGCATTCCCACTGCCCACCAATGACAGGGAATTAGTAAGGTGAAGAAACTGAAAACGTTTCAGAACCCAGGTGTTATCACATACTTTTACAAGTTGCCTCAGGTTTCCCTTAAAAAAACAAATAAACACCATCCCACATTTCATGAATTCAGTAGATATTGCAAGATTTTGGTGATTTGATCTTGAGATCTTGTAAGAGTTGGTGCAACAAAGTCAAACTCTTAATAGGCTTTCATGCAAAGTCCAGTGATTTCCTAGACTTGAATCATTTCAGTATTTATATTATTTTAACTTTGGGTGGGCTGCTGGTGCCAATTGAGAGGAGACGGGATAGACACTTGGTCCTTGCAAGGACTGTGTTGCTGCCTCCCATCTAGGCCTGTTTGCACATAGGGTGAGGAATGAGACAGTGGAGGAGAGTAAGATCCACAGTGACTCTTAACATGCCCAGTGTCTTTAGCTTCCACCGCTGGTATACAGAAACAGACCTTATGGACACCGCACTGGGGAAGGGCTGGTTGATGGCAATCTCTAGCAGAGGTTTGACATTGTGCCAGCATTTCTCCGCCTCCATTGGCAAAATATCCCTGGAATTGCTAGTTAGGACCCATCAGCTCTCATTCTAGGGAAAACAACATTGCTCCCTTGGACTTTTTTTTTTTTTTAGTTGGAAACTAGGGCTTTGCAGTGCTTAAGATTTGACAGCAAAATGGTATTTCAGAGCACACTGGAGAGGGGAGAAGCTGTTCTTTCTGCCAATCCTTACACCAAATGCATCTTTTCCTGGAATTCCACTACAGCTCGGGAAAGCAGCCGCAGTCCCAGGTGCAAGGAGCTGCAGAGAGTTGCAGTCCGAAACTTTGCATACTCTTTTCAGAAAGTCACAGCCACTGTAACCATTCTTCAGAGGAAGATGTTACACTTAATCTGCCTTCCTTTGACTCCTGCCACCTCTAATATACCCATTTTGAGGTGGAACAATCAGAAAGGCACCCAAACTTTAAAAGAGCATATGCATGTACCAAAATATTCAGTGTATTTTTTTTCTGCTGCTGAATCAGCCTGGCTCCCGAATAAGCTTCAGAACATGTGATGATCTTCATTCAGTTGCTTCTAGCTCTTGGTGATCTGATTCAAGGCATCACTTTGCCTAGAGTGTCTGTCAGTAACCATTTCTTTGTAAACTCCTGCCTGTGTCATTATTAATAGCATCTAACTACCTCTTTTCTGCTTTTTCCAAGACTCAGGGTCTTCTCTGGTGATTCTTGTCTTTTCATTATGGGTCCAAAATATTGAAATCTGAGTTTTATTATTAGTGCTTCTAGCTGGCATTCTGGTCTTCCTTCAATTAGTCTTCAACAATTTGTTCTTCTGCCACTCCAAGGCATTCTCAAAAATTCTATCCACCATTATAATTCCAAGGTATCAATTTTTCTTTGTTCAGCACTTCTGATGGTCCATCCCTCACAGCTGTATGTTACAACTATGGAAACTATGGCTTTGACTATCTGCCCTTGCATCTAAAACCAATTCATATTTCCTCTTCAAATTTTAATTTTGGAAAAAATCAAGCATCTTGTAAATTTACCAAACTCTAAGTTTCTTGGACAGTTAAAAGAAAATAATTAAATCATTTTCAAGCTTGAACATTGTTCTAGGAAAGGTGATTGTTGCAAAACACAGCTAATCAGTTGTTTTTAGCTGTATAAGCTACAAACAAATTGAATATGCTTCCACCTGGACTCAAAATGTAAGTTACAGTTGGATGTTTTTTCCAAAATGAAATAATGTATGTGTGGATCCACCCAACTTTATTTAACAGAAGTACAGCAGTCAAAATGTTTGGTTTTCAACCATTTTCTTTAAAGAACCCCCAATTTAAACATTTGTTCAAGACTACAATGACACTTTGATAATTTGAATTGTTCCTTTTCAAGGCTTTCTCTAGCTTTACAATCTCTCTTTTGAGAGGGGCCAGCAATGATGTACATACTGCTGTAGGTGTGGACACACACAGTACACCTGTGTGATGGACTGGAATGGAGGAAGGGGGGTGAAAACGGTGCTCTCGTCTCCAGAGCAAAGCTCCCGAGGTAAGCGGAGAAAGAAGGCGCATCCCTCAAAAATTCCGAAGAAAGTGAATAGCTGTGGCTGG